GCGCCCCGTGGCCGGGGGGCGCCCGCGCGCACCCGGCAGGCCTGGGACCCTCGAGGCTTCCCCTGGCCCCCGCCCCCTACTCGATACCCAATCCGGGACGTCGTCTCATCGAGCCCAGGGACCCGGAGAAATAGAGCTGGACGCTGATTGGCCGCCACCCCCTTCCGCCACTCCCTGAGAACGCTGAGCTACTTCGCGAGGGCCGCCTGTGCCCGCAGGTCCTCGTCCCCATCTTCCTCAAGTGCCCTGTAGTCTCCGGACCTGAACATCCTCGTTGCGGAGTTCGTCTATGAGCACCGCGATGGGGTAGAGCGAGTCGCCGCCCTCGGCCGCCGCCATCTTTGCTCGGTCCCGTTCCTGTCAGACTGCGGCCAGCGCCGTGCTGAAACGGGATTAGGAGGGCGAAGGCTGGGAGGAGGAGGAAAGGCGGGCTTGGGGGCCGCCCGGGCCACTTTACAAGGGCTGCCCCGCGGTCATTGGCCGCGCCACGTCGGACCGAGCTGGCGTTTGTTTGGTCCGGACAAATTAAGTCCCGCCTACTGCTCATATGCCATTGGTCGAATGAACGAAACTTGGCTTGCCGAGCCTAGGGAGAAAGAAGGAAGCGGAAGATCGGGGTATCTAAGCGACCGAGATTGTACCCGCCTATGTCGCCACTAGCAACGGCCGAGACGAGCAGTTAATCTAGCCAATGGGGGCGGGATTGGGAGGAGGGGAAGCCTGCCCTTCGCTGAGTCCGAGAGGGGACTTCTGCGCGTGCTCGTCGGTAATGTATGACGTAATGTGGGGACCGGGACAATCTGCAGGTTTTGGCTTGCGGAGCAGTGCTTCGGCTGGCTGGCGGTCACGCTGTAGGCGCTTTTTTGCGGGAGGAGGAGGGAGGTATTCTTTTACTTATGATGAATTTTTTAAAAAGACAATTTCATGTTTTATTATTTTAAAATTTGCTATAGGGCATGAGAGAAAGAGAAAGTAAGTCACCAGGTGCAGGACTCGAATGGTCCGCCATGAGGGAGTCCAACGCCTTGAACCACCACGGCCACCTGCTGTCCCCACTTAGGATGGATTTATGGTGGAGCCCAGAGAAGGGAGGTAGTCACCTTGTCTTTGGATAAAACCCAAGCCAAGCCCCTAGGCCTGGGGTTAGAGGCTATGACTAGGCACATCTTCTCCTCCTCTCTTTACCCTTAGTCAGTCCTGGAAGATTAGAGCTGCCTGAGCACATCCCACTTTTTCATACCGTAAGCCTCTTGGCCCAAGCAGTCCGTTCCACTTGGAATGCAGTTCCTAGTCACTTGTCAGATCTCGACATAAATCTCTCCCTTTCCTCACCCTCCCTGCCTCTCTTCAGGCTCTAGGCTTCCAGAGCCACAGACCTTTTTCTCTTTCTCCCAATTCCCTTACCTGGGGCTGGGCATATGATTATGCCTTCAAGTCTGCATCTGCCACAGAGTGAGAGCAGGGTTTGTTTTTGTTTTTAAGGAACTACGTATTTGGGTTGGGTTTAACAGCCCCCACCCACAATCTTAGGAACACCCTGAGTGGTGGAGGATGGGGATGGGAAGGCTTGGGTTGCTCCTTCCCCCTTTATTGTGCCATTAAAGGGACTGGACTGAGTTACGAATCCTCCAGAAATCTGAATAACCCAAGTATCTGTTCCAAACACTTAACCTTTCCACTTAGGAAACTACTGCCTGTATAAACGGGTATTGGTAGTTTTTATCCCTGCTCTCCATATTTCCAAGACCTTCCCCATTTTAGGGAAGGGTGCCTGCTCTGCTGTCAGGCTGCTTGGGATCTTGGCCTGGGCCTTTTAAATGCCTAAGAATTTTCAAAGGCCTATGAGGCTTTATTAAATCTTAGAAACAAAAGAACAAATTATTGGTTAAGGCATCTGGATTCAACATGACCAACTTCATGGTTGTAGTCCCAGTCCCAGCAGTTTGAAAATCACACTGGGGGTCCAAAATCCCAAGCAGAAATGGAGAAGGGATTATGAGATGACCATCTCCCTTGAGTGATTTCTCACTCTCTCTTTCTCCAGTAAGTCCCCAAGTCCTGTAGTAAATTTATATGCTTTTTATTTTTAAAAGGATTATTTATTTTTATTCATCATCATTTTACATTTTTAAAGAATTATTTAACTTTATTTATCCATTTATTTATTTTAATTTGACCAGAGAGGAATAGAGTGAGAGAGAGAGAGAGAGCAAACAGGCAGGTCCAAGACTCGAACCGTAGTTGGCCATGTGGGACTCCAGTGCCCTTAATCACCATGCCACCTGCTGGCCCCAATTATTATTTTAATTTGACCAGAGAGAGAGAGAGAGAAAGCAAGCCACCAGTTCCAGGACTTGAACCTGCTGGCCATGTGGGAGTCCAGTGTTTAACCACCATGCCTATAGTAAATTAAAAACAAACAAAAAACCAGTATAGTGAGAAGTCCTGAGCTCAGTGCATTGCAGCCCTTCTTGTCATCAAGCAATAGTTTTGATGAAGGTCAGATACCAAAATTCTTGATCTTTCCTTGCCTCTCAAAAGTAGCAGGAGCACTACTATTTTTATTGTTTGCTAGGCACTGTTTTAAGTACTTCATATTTAATTCTCACAACTTGAGGCAGATACATTTTTATTTTAAATTTTTTAGTTTATTAATCCTCTCATGAAAAATCTGCACGATCACCGCAGATAGTCTTGCAGTCTTTACTCCTTGGACTTTTTGCCAGCACCAACACTGGCCTTTGCAGTCCCCCTTTCTTCATTCTGTTCTTGCGTTCCTTTCGCTGTTTTCTTGATGTCTTTTTCTCATAAAGGCCATGTCTTACAAGTCTATGGGTTCATTTTTCTTCACATAATCTGAAGAATCATAAATCATGCCAAAGCTAGTTGTCTTGCCACCACCAAAATGGGTTCTGAACCCAAACACAAAGATGACATCTGGTGTGGTCTTGGACATCTTCGCTAGTTTTTCCCACATTTCTGTCTTAGGTACTGTTGCCTTCCCGCGGTGAAGGACATCAATGACCATTTGTTTCCTCTGAAGTAGTTGGCTGGTCATGAATTTCCTGGTTTGGACAGTTACTGTGTCATTCATGATGGTGGTATATCCTCAAGTAGCCAGGGAGGAAAAACCTGAGGCAGATACATTTTAAAAAGAAGATGAAATATATAGGTAAATTACTTGCTCAGAGACACACAGCTTGAGCATGACATGGCAGGATTTAAACCAGACATGTGACTCCAGGACTCATTCCTAACTGCTGTGTAACTCTGCCGCAGGCCAGCTAGTGGCATAGTAATGGTGGCTAGATGCCACTTGGCCAAATATGTGGTTTGAGTCCTGGACCTGGAGGCTTGATAAACAGCAGTGCATGTGTATGCGTGACTAAAATCTCAAAAAGAGAAAGGATTGAGGTGTGACCATTCCTGGGGGACTCGGGGAGAGTGTTTTCTCACTTTCCTTGCCTCTGGTGAGCGCACATGCCCTCTAGCACACACACACACACACACACACACACACACACACAAAGGCTGTACATAGCCTTAGCTCAGGAGGGACTGAAGTCATGGGAACAGATAATAATTTTCCTTGAAACTGTAAAGATCCTGGGCTTGGCACCAGACATGGTGTGTACAGGTTATATGTGCACCAGTTCTCCTTCATCTGGGATACTAAGCTCTGGAAGGTGAGTTCAGCACCTGGTTCAGAGCTCAAGGTAGGCCTGGCCAACTCATCTTTGGACCCCAATTGATCAGTTCACGAAGTGAGTAACCTGACCTGCAGACTCCACAAGATGGGAAGTTGAGGGATCCAAGGGCCTGCTTGGCAGAACACTCGTTCTGATTCTTCCCTCCTTGAAAATTGTGTACCAGAGTGCCCTTGTTAAAAATGCAGTGCCCTGGGGCCAGCAGGTGGTATAGTCATTACACTGCTGGACTCTCACATGGCCAACCATGGTTTGAGTCCTGGACTCAGTGGCTTAAAAATCACATCAGGCTTGTGTGCTTGTGTGCCTAAGATCCCAGGAAGAGAATGGAGAAGAAATTACAACGTAGCCATCTCCCTGCGAGGGTGGGGGGTGGTGGTGGTGATGGTGGTGGTGATTTCTCACTTTTCCTCTCACTCTCTCTCTCTTTGACAAGCACACGCACCCTATGGCAAAAACCTCTTAAAAAAAGAAAAAAAAACCAGTGTCCTGGGGCCAGCAGGTGATGTGGTGGTTAAGGTGCTGGACTCCAACATAGCCAATTGCGGTTCAAGTCCCAGACCTGGTGGCTTGCTTTCTCTCTCTCTCTTCCCCTCTTCTCTTGTCAAATTAAAATAAATAAGTAAATAAATAAATAAAGCTAAATAAAATGATTATTTTGTAAAAAAGGAATTTGCATTTTGGGACTGGCAGGTGGAGTGCTGGTTAAGGCACTGGACTCCCAGATGGCTGATTATGGTTCAAGTTCTGGACCTGGTGGCTTGCTTTCTCACTTTCTCTCTCTCTCTGGTCAAATTAAAAACAATAATAATAATGAGCAGAGGCCACGACCAGGCACAAAATGCTGGAATTGCCACTGGAGAGGAGTCGACTGCCTGGCACCCATTCTCCCGTCCCCCTGTCCCATTCACAATGCAGCCTGCTTCTGCAAAGTGGTATAAAGGGACTATATCTTCATCGAATTTTGTGTTGAAGACAGTGAAGATGTTAATGTAAATTTTGAAATATCCAAACTTACATTTAGTTGTCTCGGAAGTGATAAATTTAAATAAAATTGATCTTTTGCATTGTATTGATCCAAATGATTCCAAGCATAAAAGAATGCATAGATCAATTTTGTGTTGTTTACGGAAAGGAAAATCTGGACAGTCATGGCCAAGGTTAACAAAAGAAAGGGCGAAGCATAATTGGCTTAGTGTGAACTTCAATAATTGGAAAGACGGGGAAGACGATTCAGATGAAGACATGTCTAATTTTGATCGTTTCTCTGAGATGATGAACAACATGGGTGGTGACGAGGATGTAGATTTACCAGCAGTAGATGAAGCAGATGATGATTCACAAGACAGTGATGATGAAAAAATGCCAGATCTGGAGTAAGGAATGTTCTCATCACCTGGATTTTGAGAAAGAAAAAGAACTTCTCTGCAAGATTTCATAATTGAGAGAATTCCCGAGTTGTTGGCTCTAAAGGCAGATGCTGTATTTGCCTCCTTTAACCCATTTTCAACCTGTTTGTTTTTTAAAAGTCTTCACTAAGGGTTGATAAGTACCATTGTATGGGGCAGTATTTTTTTTTTTTTTTGAGAGGTTTTCACTATAGGGCCCGTGTGCTCGCCAGACAGACAGAGAGACAGAAAGTGAGAAATCACCCCCAAGGAGGATGGCCACACCGCAATCTCTTCCCCTCCATTCTCCTCTCGGGATCTTGGGCACACACGCACACGCGCATGC